GACCCCCGCACCGCCGCCACCGCGCGCCGGGCGCCTCTGGGGACCGCGGCTGGAGATCCCCACACGGCCCTCGCGCTCTGCCCCACAAGCCTGCGGAGCGGGATGATTTATGGGAGTGTTTGACGTGGCAGCCCAATTAGGAGCCTGCGAGCGCGCTGAGCTGGCAAACGGGAGAATCCCCTGGTGCCCGCGCCACGAGGGCTGGAGGGAGGGACTGGCGCGGGACCGGGAACCCGGCCCCGCGCCGCGCGCCACCGAGGCGTTTTAGTAATCCTCCAATTCTTCCTCTAGCTAAAGAGGAGAACTCGATTTTCCCCCCTCTAATTCTTGTAAATGAAACTACTCAACGCTCTCTCTTTCTCAAGCATGTGTAGGACCGTTAGGCTCGGACACATCACGTCCCGCAAAGTTGTCAAATGACAAGTCCCGGCTGCTTAAATATTCTGCGCTCCGCCTATAGGTGGGTTAGCGTTTTCAAACCCCAGAAGTTCTAGCAATTTTCAGCATAATCAGTACATTCTCACGAGTCCTGGTGCAACACATAATATTAAAAAGGCCAGTCTCGTTCAAGATTTAAGAACGTTTTAATTTTTTTTATTTTTACAAGACACGCTCATCGAGCCTCATGTTTTTCTCCAATGCGTCTTGCTGTTTAAGAAATATATTTGACTCCTTTTTTCGTTCGATTTCATTGTAGAACTTAAGAGGCTCTAAAGAAAAACAGCTCCCTAGCACCTCTGTTTATATATGATAAGGAGAGGTTTTCCTCTCCAAAGCCGTCTTATCTGCCAGCGCGCGGGAGACGGGGCTGAAGATTCGAATCGTCTTCTCGCTGAGTTTCAGGAATTGGGGGGAGGGGGTGCGACACCACATTTTGCCTCGAAAAATACTTTCCCCTCCCATTAAAAGCTTATTTTTCGAATGAGATGAGTAAACAGCTTTTGAAAATCTGGAAGGCGAATGAAGGTGGTGCCTTCCCTGACAATCTGCTGCTTCCTTTATCTCTGAACAAGAAACTGAAGTGAACTTTTTTTAGAAAACATCAGGGAAGCGAAGGTTATCCTTGCTCAGCCCAGTAGGAAGACGATCCTAAATAAAATATGCGCGCATATTCGTCCGTTAGTATTATTATTTTTCCCCTTAAGAGGTAGAGATTAATTTAGAAACCGCTTTCGAAGCCCGCATCTGTGACGGAGGAAACGAAAGCGGGCCCGGGGAACCGATGGGGTGAAAGCTGGAGGTCCAGGGAACCTGACCAGGGCCCCAGAAGAGGGGCTGGGAGGGCGCCTCGCCTCAAACCCGGTGCCCAGCTGCCGAGAAGTCCTTCTGGGTTTCCCGCTGGGTCTCAGGACTGTGCCATGACACTGGGCCACTTGGGGCCTTCCGAAGGGCCTCCTCTCTGGGGTTTCACTTTCAGCCCAAGCGGGGATCTCCTCTCTGCCCTGCCACCCGAGCGGTGCTTTGGCGCCAGGGCTGCCTTTTGCTTTATGCAGCCACGAGGCTCAGCTGCAGAGATGGCTGGTCGGTGAGACTCACCGCCTGCCCCCCTGCGCGCCCTCTCCTCCCGTCTCAGTCCCCGAGCCCACCCCGACCCTCCTCCATGGCCACTTACCGCCTCCACCCTCTTCTCTCCTGCAGACGTGGCCCTTTATGGTGGCCGGGAAGCCCGAGAGTGACCTGAAAGAAGTGGTGACCGCGAGCCGCCTGTGTGGAACCACGGCGTCCTGACCTTGGAGGTGCGAGTCTGGGAAAGGCGCGCTCCCGGGGGAACAGCCCCGGGAAGGCGACCCCTGCCCGCCCTGCTCTCTGTCTCTGCTCCCCCTGCAAAGCTCCTCTCCCTGGCCCACCCTGCGAGAACACTTTACAGCGACGAGGAGACTCCTTTCCAAACCAGAGGAGATCGAGTGTACTTACAGAGATTCCCATCTATTTAACTTTATTAATTTCTACCGTGAATGACTCTGCGAGCCTTGCTGGTCCAAGTGCAATATGTAATTATAAATATATGAATAGCTAATAAGAGCCTATCAATGTGTATCTTTTGTACAATGTGTTGTAAAGTGTAGATCATAGAATAGCTGACTTTGACAGTCACCTTTATAAAGTAATTCACTTAAAGATATATATATATTTTTCAAACAAGTTTTGCTACTTTCGAAAATAAATCTTTCTTTATATTGCTAGAAGCCCTGACATTGGTGTGATTTAAAAAATATATCTATTTGGAATAGAAAAGTGAGTAACTGTGGGAAAGCTTGATAATAAAAGTGGCTCTTTTGACCCTCAATCCAAACGTCTAGAGACAGAAGAAGATTAAATTCATTTCCACTGTGAAGGTCCAGATCATATTCTGCTCTGAAACGTGGCAGGGGGCGCGCGCCTCTGATCTCTCAGGTTTCCAGGTGACTTGGAATACAATTAGAAATATTGTAACCAAACAAAGAAAGGGCCGGGTTAAAGTTATTATTAGTTACACAGTTCAAGAGATAAGCACTCCAGAAAAGGGAGATCGGATTATCCCGTGTTCCGCGGTGTAGCCGCTGACCTGGGTAGGAAGGCGCACTGGGCGTCTTACAACCTTCCGTGGGAGGGCACGTAGCCCCCGGTTACAAACCAAGGAAGAAATACTGGGAGCTATGAGAAATGTAAAATCCATAATCCTTGGGAGGTATTTTCCGGTTTTCAAAGTGCTGCAACGTACACTATGTATTTCTTATTGACAATTCATTGGAACGACGCGCCTCGCCCGCCTTTTGGTTCAGGTTAGCCGGTGCACGCAGCTCCCGCCGCCACTTCCGGCGGGCTGGGCTTTAATTTAAACATCTTCCAGGCTACGGAACAGCTCCTTGGGGAAGATTAAGTTGAGATAAACAGAGAGGCAAGGCCGGGGAGCCTGGGACCCGGTCCCCTTGCTGCCCCGGCGCAGCCCGCGGCGGCCGATGAGCCAGATGCCACCGAGGCTGTTTAATGTTCGGGGTTATGACCGCAGTGTTTACAAGACGTCTTCGGTTATTTATACTGTTAGTCCTCGCAGAGGGCCTTGAAACTTCCGCTTCTTTTGCTCTTTCTTTTCCATTTTTTTTTTTCTTCTTCATTTTCTCCGTTCANTCCTCGCAGAGGGCCTTGAAACTTCCGCTTCTTTTGCTCTTTCTTTTCCATTTTTTTTTTTTTCTTCTTCATTTTCTCCGTTCAGTTTAGTACCTGGAGTAAAAGCTCCCCCGCTTCCTTTCCTTCCAGCGCTTAGCTCCTACGAACCCCAAAGGTGGATTAGGGGTGGAGTCCTCAGCTGGGCCTCAAAGAAGGGGCTTGTCAGGGAGAGGGAACCCTGGTGCCCGGGAGTGTTCTCTGCCAGGCTCCCCTGCCGCCTCCCGCTGCATTCATTCCCCTGGGCTGGGACAGCGGGGTTCCTCAGGCACCTGCCTGCCCTGTGCCCCTCAGGGGCCCTTTCGGGGCGTCCTTCTACCCTTCCACTTCCCCACCCCCACACTTGACCTTCAAGGGCGCATTTTAAGATCGGGCCACCTCCTAATTTCCCAAATTCTCCTACCAGAGGACACTGCCGTCACCCCCACCCGCCCAGAGTTCAAGTGTGAGACGTGAGGTTCCTGTATTTCGGTTCAGCCCGTTTTCTAAGCTCCCACTGAGGGTTTTTATAAAGCAGAGCTCAAATTCTGAGCACTCGATGCAGGCGGACCCGCAGAGAAAAACTTCGTGCTCATTCTCTGAGGATCCCAAACTGCAAACAGATTAAAAAAAAAAAAAAGAAGACCCTGTTTCCTAACTACAATTTGAAACCTTGGCTTTAAGCTTGAGACCTGAGGCTGTGACTATGACAGACATGGGTTAAGCCCTGGTTCTGGGTCTAGCTTTTTCGTAAAAGGAAAAAGGACCGTATCCTCAGTTTTCTCATCTCTGCCAATGGGGATAAAGGTGATAATAATGATAATAATAATACTTTTCCTCTTTTGTCTCACAAAGCGTTAATGGGTTCAAATTAGGTTATATTTGTGCAATTAATTTCTGAAGGGAAAGGTCCTTGGAAATATCCGTTACTTTTATTAAGTGGCGGGTGTTGAGCTGTCTGTGCCAGACCAGACCTGAAAGTGTGTCAGGCAGGAAGCTCAAAAGGGTGTTTGTTTATAACGGACAGGGGGTGGTCTTTTTACTGCATGAATCAAAACACCTCCCTTGGATGCTATGTTTAACCTCACATTTCTCTCTCTCTCTCTCTCTCTCTCTCTCTCTCTCTCTCTCTCTCTCTCTCACGCACACACACACACACACACCCCTTTACCCTTCTCTAATGTTCTCTGAATTTGTCCATAGCTCTTTACAAGCATGACTGCTTCCTAGAAATCTTGAATCCAGAAAAATTTATAGAGCAGAGATCGAGTGTGGGACCAGCAGATAGAAGGGCTACATGGGTGTCTGGCTGCTGGGAAGCCCCACCCATAAGGGCCTCAGCTCTGCGCCCCCGGGTGCACTGGACATCGCACAGTTGTCCACTGAAAGGAACACACAACATAGTGGGAATTTCTGTGCTGTGGCCACCACTGGCCCAAAGAACGTGAAAACCTGACGGCCCCACACCAGTCCACACAGGCATCCGCAGTCGAAGCATCTCTCCTTGCCCAGGGACCCTTAAACCAGATCATCAGCACCTCACACCTGCCACACCCTTCTTCCCACGTCTGTTGTTTTCCTGGATCTGCCCCTGCAGGGCTCCACCGCCAGCCCACCTGTGCCCAGCCCACCTGTGCCCAAGACACACTCGTTGGTGTGTCCTGATTGAATAGGCAGCTAGGCTGCCTGAGAAGGAAAGGGGGACCCCCTTGCCACAAGCCGCTATATTTAGGAGTGAGGGGTGGGGGTTCTCTCTGTGGCCTCTTGGTTATGAAAATTATCTTAGAAGGTGCTTTTAGAAAGAACCTGGAGAACATCTGGAGCAGGCTGTAGAAGCCTGGGAGGAGAACGAAGTGTTTCAAATTAGCGTGTGTCTGGGGGTTCTCAGGAGGAGTGGACAGATACTGAACACGGACTGTAGCTGAGGAAGTCCCGTCTCTCTTGCTCTCTCATTGCTTATATGGGTTTTTTTTAACGAGTAACTCCTGCTTCTAGCAGGTTTTCCCACCGTCAAATCAGCGACTTCTTTCTAAAGACATGTGGTAACAAGGTCCGTACTGGCTGGTTATACACAGTGACCAGTGGGAAACGCTGCCCAGCAGACGTTGAAGCCAGCGGTTTTTCGGTGTGTATCAGAATCGCCTGGACGGCTGGTGGCAATAAACTGTTGGGTCCCATCCACCTGAGCTCCAGATTCAAGAGATCTGGGGTGGGGCCCCATAATTTGTGTTTCCAGCAAGTTCCCAAGGGATACTGCTGCTGTGCTGGTCCCGGGACCACACTTTGAGAATCACTGTTTTGGGATCTGTCTCATTAGAGAAACAAAAGAAGTTAATACAGAGGGAAAGAAAATATTTGGGAACTTTTTCTTAAGAGGCTGCACATTCTGGGCTCCAGTTTCATTTACTTTTCTATTCACGCCACGGTGGCATGCAGTGTGTTCTTAATGCTTAAATGATATGGCCGTGGAATCAAACCATTCATCCTCGGAAAATAAAAGGGTTTTGCTGCCCCGGTGTGTGGATGTGTGTGCGCTCCTTTCGGGCGCTCAAAGACGGATTTCAGTCATCAGGTGATGAATTAAAGACCTGACTGGGTTTGGGCCCCGGCTGCTGTGGCCTCCGCGGCGACCCCCAAAAGGGAGAGAAATCTGGGAACCCAGAACCCGAGCCTGGGTTGCGCAGAGGATCCCTGGGGCCGGGCCAGCAGAGATTTTCCCTTCACCCCAGTGGAAGAAGGTGGTTTTTTCTTGTTTGGGGCCCTAGACGTCCAGCTCCTGGAAGTCCGTCTGCGGCTGGGGTGCAGAGGTGCGGGAGTGAGGGCGAGCGGGGAGTGCGCGCGGGCTGGAGGGGGCAGGGGGGGACCCGAGCCCAGAAGCGGAGTCGGGAAGGACCCCTCTGTGGCTCTTCTGTTCACCCCCCTTACCGTCTCCCTCCACCCCCAGAGTCAGAGGGAGAAGGCGGGAGGAAAGGAAGGAGGCTCGGCGATCCGAGCCCCGGCCCACAGCCTCCAGGGTCACGGTCCCTCCCGGTGCGCACGCCGCTGCGGACGCGCCCCACGCGCGGCCCCGGGGAGGCTCTGGGGTCACGACCGCACACCGCCGGGAGGGGATTCGCGGGCCCCACGCAGCTGGCGCGCCGAGCTTCCTTTCCTAGCTTTCCACTCTTCGCTCCAAGGCGCGCTCTGCCCTTGGAAACTGCGGTGGCGCCTGCGGCGTTTCCGAGAGCCCAGGCGGCTTCCCCGGGGGCCTTGCCCCGCGCCTTCGGTCCTTAGGCCAGGGCAGGCTCCGCCCGCGCCCCCTCGTGCGGGTTCACTGCAGGAGCAGCCCCCGGAGGCCTGGGCTTGAGATCCCCTCCCCGCCAGGGCGGAGGGAGGAGAGGGGTGGCGAGGGCGCAGAGGACCGCGGTCCGGGACGCCCGGGGAGCAGCGTCCCGTCAGCGCCGCTCCCGCCGCCGCCGTGGTGCCTGGCACCCCAGGAGTCACACGATCGTTATCTCAGGCTTCGGTGAAGACAGCAGATAAGACAGAGGGCAGCTGGAACTAAGAATTGACAATGGGGCTGTTGCTGTGCTGGAACTGAAACGGAACCTGTCTTGCCCAAGTCTGGGAGCATGTTTGTGCAAAGAAGACAGCAAGCATTCAATAAAAATAAATTCAGAAAAAGCGCGCGGCCAGCAGGCGTGGTGGGACTGGATGCCATCAAGGAGGCAGGTGTGCACTGCCCGCCCTGAGGCTCAGGGGAAATCGCTCCTTTCCCTTTCCAGCTGAAGGTGACATCATTAGTTTTGAATTTATATGGCCCAGAGATCAGAATCATTCGCTTAAAGGGTGCTTTGAAGAGTGGAAATCATTTGAAACACTGTAAGAATAAAACGTTCCCGTTTTATTTATTCTTTATTTTAATAAAATAAAATAATTTTATTTTAAAATTAATACAGCTGGTGATAAGGAAGGAGTTTGTTGCCTTTTACTGATTCATGTATACATACATCAAGTGAACCGTACACTGGAGAGAGCTCGCGACTGAGCCCTTGGACAAGGTACTTGACCTTTCAGGACC